CCAAAGCCCCACAGTTAAAGTGCAAAATAGGTTAGGTTAGGTATTGCAGTCTTACGGTGTATTAAATGTAATGTTTTACTTGTCAGAGAAGTGGTCGTAAACTGTAAATAATGAAGAATAAAAATCATGATTTAAAAAATTCTGTTATTATTTGCTCTAAGGGGCTTTTGTTCGACAATCGTTTTTGTTAATTTGTCGACAAGTATATGAATGTTAACTCCGGGTTATGCTCCAGCCCCCAAAAAGTCTTCTTCACTCACATTAATTCCCCTTATACCCAATTATATATTTCCTTAGTTGATACACTTATGTGTAATGATTCTTTACATGTATACTTAAGGTGTTTTTTTTCGTTTTATACCCCTCTACTGTGCATATAGACGAGTATATTGTCTTACCTGTTCTGACATTAGTGTGTTTGTAATGTGGACAAAATGTAGGTCAACTTAGCACTGAATAATGATCAATATTAAGGTGTTATTATATTCGGTCTTTTCTTTATTGATCATATTAAAAGTTGTGTAAGAAGTGTGTCACGTGTGTTGCTCTTGTGTTGTATGTTGTTATAATGGTGATAAATGTTTCTTTGTTGTGAGAGAGAAGGTGGTATAGGTATGATACGACTGGAGAAGGGGGGGGGGGTGAGAAAAGAGGAGAACAAGGCAAAGATAAGTATGGAGGTGAAGATAATAAAGAAAGATAACTAAATCCACTAAAAAATAAATGGAAGCCAGGAAGTAAATGAGGTGTAGTAAGTGAAATGATTAAAGCTGGAGGAGTAATAGTGATTTTATGGCTGTAGAATTTATTTATGATCACCTGTTATAAATGGCTGTGTACACCTGGAGTTTGTAGGAAGGGGGATAAATGACGTCGTGTAACTGTGGTAAAAATTACTGTAAGAATTAGTGTGTGTGTGTGTGTGTGTGTGTGTGTGTGTGTGTGTGTGTGTGTGTGTGTGAAGAATTAGTATTGTCATAAATGAATCTGAGAACAAGATGGAGAATTCGAATGTACATTTTGGATTAAGTTTGCCTGTAGAAGAATGTTAAGTTTAAAATATGGAAAATAGTTCAAGGAATGGTATTTTGAAAGGTCAGAATCAGCCTCAGTATAACGTCATTATAAACGGAGAGGAGCTGGAAACTGTGTAAAGGTCTTCAAGGTGTTTGTGTACTATGGGGTAACGAACAACAAAGACGAGGAGATGGAGAAGCTGAAGTTAACAACATAATAATTCAAGGAAGGAGAACCACTGAGAGTATTAAGAATTGGGAGCGAGTCTTGAGTGTTAAGTGTGTAAGGAGACTATGCACGAAGGAATGCCTCACCCAACAGAAGAAGAGACGATAGTGTAAGAGTCATAAGGAGAATCAAATGAAGGAGAGTCCATGAAGAGAAAAATGATACGGAGGCACGCAAGAGAACGCCTGTACAGAGATGAATGACTCACGATTGAAGAAAGAAGAGTGAGAGAAAGACCAAGAGGGAGATATAGATACATAGGTGAATAAAGAAAGGTCTAGGGTAAAGTAGACAGTGTTAAGTAGAGTAATATATACGTTATTTAGATAATTCTGCCGTCGAGTGAGTGGTGTGGGGCCGAGTGAGTGGTGTGGGGCTGAGTGAGTCGTGTGGTGTGGGGCTGACGAGTGAGTGGTATGAGGCTGAGTGAGTCGTGTGGTGTGGGGCTGACGAGTGAGTGGTATGAGGCTGAGTGAGTCGTGTGGTGTGGGGATGACGAATATATGGTGTGGGGCTGACGAGTGAGTGGTGTGGGGTTGTCGAATGAGGGGTGTGGGGCTGATGAGTGAGTGGTGTGGTGTAGGGCTGACGAGTAAGTGGTGTGGGGCTGATGAGTGAGTGGTGTTGTGTAGGGCTGACGAGTAAGTGGTGTGGGTCTGACAAATTAGTGGTATGGGGCTGACGAATGAGTGGTATGGGGCTGACGAATGAGTGGTGTGGGCTTACGAGTGTGGGATGTGGGGCTCACGAGTGAGTGGTGTGGGGCTGATGAGTGAGTGGTGTGGTGTGGGGCTGACGAGTGAGTGGTGTGGGGCTGATAATTGGGAACGTATCTATAGATTAAAAGATTGAATCTGTTAAGCCACAAAAATTGTAAACTAGTGAACGATTCTCTACGTAGTTCATTTCCATCAGGTTGTGTGAGTATTTATGATACCTGGGGATGAATGTTAGGTATTGTGTTGTAATTAATCGTAATTGGAAATAACATGGGGATTATTATGCTTTATTTCATATGATATTCCCACTTTTTTAGGCAAACATAATTAGTTATCTTGGGTTATCCATAAATCTGATAAATTCCTGTTTGTTTTGAAATTATGACGACTGAAGATGTGTGTTCGTTGATCCGAGACAAGGAGCTTCATTAGAATTCATTTTGCCATGTGTCCAAGAATTTTACAGTATCCGATTTTTTTTTTATACTAAATTCATCCTTTAACATTATGAAGACAAACAAGTCAACATAGCGAACTTTAAATCTTAACTTGGATTCGTAATGTAATTTGGATTTTTTCCCAGTGTTGGAATAATGTCCGTAAAAAAAAAAGCCTTATAGGTTTGAGACCTGATCATCTCATACGTGATCTTGCGGGCGTGTGAACGTGTGTAGTCTACCTCGTGTTGCTCCGCGGTATTGCCAACTGGTGTCTCCTCGGCTCTACTCTTGTATTAAAACAATGTGAATCGTTCTTGGCCGAAATTCAATTGTTGAAGAAAATCCTCGGGATGACATAAGCTCTAACAGTTTGTTGGTGATTGGTTTACGATATTTTTCCTGCTATATTTTGGTTAATTTTACTACTCAGGGACCAAATGACATAAAGCAGTACAGTGATTGTGTTAACGGAGAGAATATAACAATCATATGATTTTCTTTTGATTTTTTAATACTACTTTCCTCGCCTGGACTTTGCGTCTCTCTCTCTCTCTCTCTCTCTCTCTCTCTCTCTCTCTCTCTCTCACAGGTGGTTCTTAATTAATAGTTCCACAGGTATAGGAACACCTTCAGTCACCGCGGCCTTCCTCCCCGTTTCAGCTTCTCCATATTTAATGTTGTTGTCAAAACTCCAAAATATTATTAAACTCCGCTTGTACAGAATCTTTACTCGTCTTTTTTTTTCTTTTTTTTTCATCAACTTCCTTTATACGAAATTCACATGGCGGCGAACTGTCTTGTAAATGAAGTCAATTACAAAGAAGAGAGAGCGAAAGCATTTTATCAACTCGTTTTTCTTATGTGTTTATCTTGTTCCAATTAAAATTTAGTTACATCATTGTCATGTAAATATTCTTAGTATACAAAAAAATCTGACATAATTGGTTGAAGAATGTTTTTTCTAGAATATTTTCTTATTAAAATTTCACCCCTCCTTGTTTTTTCTTTTTTATTTTAATAATCTCATGATTAAATTTGTACTCGTCCAGGGAGACCAGTACACGAGGGAAGGTCACTTACCTTACTGTTATACCTCCCATCAATAACAGTAGACGAGTTGAATTATCCACCTTATCTTGTAGTCTTGTTCTTCCCTGCTCGCTCGGGATAACCTGCCTCATACCCCGTGGTGAAGCCCCAAGGAGTGTGTACCAGTGTCCTTATATTTAACTTTTAATCCCCAAAACTTCTATAAAAGTCAATAAATAACACAAGACAGGATATTGATATCCCATCCAGCTGAGATATCCTCACTAAAACATGATATTGATGGCCAGGTATTCGAGCAAAATTCTCAAGGTAGAGTCAGCGCTTACGACTAAATAAAATAAGCTAATCACAAGAAAACTGCATTCAAAATAAAATAATGCCAGTGTAGTACGTAGATGTAGAATGTTTAATTAGGGACTGTAGATGAAGAATGTTTCGTTAAGAAGGTATATGTAGAATGTTTAGGTAGGGAAGATGGATGTAGAATGTTAAGGTAGGGAAGGTAGATGTAGAATGTTTAGGTAGGGAATGTCGATGAATGTTAAGTTCGGGAGGGTAGATGTAGAATGTTTAGGCAGGGACTGCAGATGAATGTTTAATTCGGGAAGGTAGATGAAGAATGTTTAGGTAGGGAATGTCGATGAATGTTAAGTTCGGGAGGGTAGATGTAGAATGTTTAGGTAGGGAAGGTAGACTCATCATCCTTTCCGTCTACAACCAACACCTCATCACAAGGCCTGGCCTCGCGTCACATCATCAGCTGGTCGGGACTGTCAACACAGCTGTCGGGGCTGGTAAAGGAGAATGTTATGGTCTCTTGACAGCCATTATGCCCTATAAATGATGCTCGTCTTTGTGACTGGTGACAGCTGCTGTTGTGGGTGCTGACTGGGATGGTGTGATTGATAGTGCATCTAATGAGGGAATGTTTCCTGGTGATAAATAATGACAGCTCTTAACAAACCGGAGGAAATATTGTGTCTGTGTGTGTGTTTTTCTCTGGAGTGTTTGTGTTTGCATGAGTGTTTCTGTATGTGTGTTTACTTGGGTGTCTTTGCTTGAGTGTTTCTGTTTGCCTGAATATCTGTTTGTGTATGTGTGAGTGTCTATGTTTGTGTAAGTGGCTCTTTGCTCGAGTGTCTGTGTTTGTGGGAGTGTCTACCCCTGTGTGTATGATGTATATGTTTGTTTACATATGTATTTAATTTTCATATCTGTGTTTGTATGTGCAACAATAACTGCTCGGGGAATTCAATAATACAAGTATTTATATTATATTGTCAACAACCATGTAAGAATTCTTCGCTGTACCTCCACGTGTAGCTTTACCGCGAGGAAACAAAATCAGCAAACACAAATTATCAAACTGTAATTGCAGTACACACACACACACACACACACACACACGATATTAGATACTGCCTTGTGATTACAGTTTTATTTTTAAGGTGTGTTGTAGAATGTAGATTATTACTACTATATGTATTTGTGTTATGATTTGTTGTTGTGAATGAGTTGGTAAGTTTGTGTGTTGTTGTTGTTTCAGTACCGTCCATAGTGGTGCACAACGGGTCTACGAGCGCCCCGGGCAGCCCCAACATGGAGCGGGCGGTCAGACCTCTCCGCCCACACAATACTCTCTCCAAACAGGTATTGTCCCCCCGTTCTTTGTTTGTCTTCTTACTCGACGATACTGTGGCAGGTATTGGCCCCACTCAGTGTTCCTTGTTTGTGTATTTACGCGACGATACTCCAACTGTTACATCCCCCTGTGTTTCTGTCTTCTGTATTTACTTAACGATGTCCAGACAGGAACTATCCCTTGAATTTTCTTGTTTTGTGTACTTACTTGACAGAGATATAACAGGTGTTGTCTTTAGGGGACTGAGCAATGCCCGCAGTCCGTCCGTCCGTCCGTCCGTCCGTCCGTCCATCTGTATTCCTATCCCTGTATTCTCCTGAGCGTCCGTCCAGCAGCTGATTCTAAATATACTTGGCATGTAGTTGTATGAATTGAAAGTTTTATACGAGTAAGATGATCAGTATTTTCCTCAATTAGTCTCCAGAGTTGCTGCTTCTTGTTGTGCAGGGAGGGATTTGTCTACTTTTAGGGATGCGAGGACCTAGCGGATACAGCGCTCGCTTCCTATCCTAAGGGTCCTTGGTTCGCATCCAGGGCAAACCCTAATCCACTCAGAACGTGTTGAAAGAGGGGGGAGGGGATGATTGAGGCGGGTGAGGGTGAAGTATTTATGAAGGTGTAAAGAGAAGAATATTATTTAGGGATGGTGCTGTAGAGGTCATGCAGGTAAAGTGTTCATTCTTTAAGTGTTCAAACCTTGTATCTAGACTTGGTAGTTTCCCTCATTTTCCCCTTGACAGTTTCCACTTTTTTTTTATAATTTCAATCGAAGGATCAAACAACACTCCATAAATGTCCCTGACTCTCTTCACACTCTCGCTTTGACTCTTATTTGATATCTCTCTCTCTCTCTCTCTCTCTCTCTCTCTCTCTCTCTCTCTCTCTCTCTATGAAAATCACACAAGGATGATTTATATTCCTTCTAAACCAACAAAGTCAATCCATCACTAATAATGTTTGGTGTTTTTTTTTTTTGTTCTTTAAATATTTAACACTAAGGTTGAGTCGTACGCGGTGTGTACAGTATATAAGAGGAAATAATACTGAGGCTACGATAACATGGTCGCCGTATTGACAAGGGATAGTCTTCACTGTGTGTTATTTGAAGGTGAAATGTGTATGACCATCGGGCACGCCCTGGCAGTTAGTTCCCATTAAGCTCTCTGCTCTGTGTTTACATCCCCGAAAAATCCTTCCCTTGATGAGCCTTTCAGTCGTTCATGAACCAATAGACAAGTTTTTTTTATACAGATCCACTATTTTATTATTTTAGTGTGAGTTTATTTTTCATGCCATGTCTCTATTGTACTGTTGTAGACACGTGTTGGGGTACTATTGTAGACACGTGTTGGAGTACTATTGTAGACACGTGTTGGGGTACTATTGTAGACACCTGTTGGGGTACTATTGTAGACACCTGTTGGAGTACTATTGTAGACACCTGTTGGGGTACTATTGTAGACACGTGTTGGGGTATTATTATAGACACCTGTTGGGGTACTATTGTAGACACGTGTTGGGGCACTATTGTAGACACGTGTTGGGGTACTATTGTAGACACCTGTTGGGGTACTATTGTAGACACGTGTTAGGGTACTATTGTAGACACGTGTTGGGGTACTATTAGGCACGTTAGGGTACTATTGTAGACACGTGTTGGGGTACTATTGTAGACACGTGTTGGAGTACTATTGTAGACACGTGTTGGGGTACTATTGTAGACACGTGTTGGGGTACTATTGTAGACACGTGTTGGAGTACTATTGTAGACACGTATTGGGGTACTATTGTAGACACGTGTTAGGGTACTATTGTAGACACGTGTTAGGGTACTATTGTAGACACGTGTTAGGGTACTGTTGTAGACACGTGTTAGGGTACTATTGTAGACACTTGTTGGGGTACTATTGTAGACACCTGTTATTGCTTCCCTGAACTGTGTTGGTTATTAGCATAGCGAAAACTTTGTCATAGTCTGTTCATGACGCTGCCGGAGACCATGGCGAGGTCGAGGTCCAGTAACTAAACCGTAAGACTGCATTGAATAATAATAAAGCCCCAGAAACGGATTGATTGCTAGCTGAGGTCTTGAGACTTGGCAGGAGTGGAGTGTTAACTGCTGTTGTATATATGAGAACCCAGCAGATGGCAGCAGAAGTGAAGCTGTTATTGTAGCGACACACAGGAGCGTTTGGGACTGTATAGACACAACACACTGTATACCAAGCCTTCGGTACACAAGGAGGCACCATGGCCAGCATTTAATTCGAACCTCCTTCACTTACCCAACTCTGTAAACCCAGGTACCGGTATACCTATTTACAGCGGGGTTTGTACCCGGAGTGTTCCGGGATCGAATCGGTGTCTCCACTTCAACTTTTCACTTCAACTTTTCACGCGTTTTCTGTCGTATGTTCTTCGTAATATTTCTCACTAATAATGAATTCCATTATTTTGCATTGTTAATAGAGACACGTCATTCCATCACAATTTGAGGGTATTTTCTCGGGAGTTTAATAGTATGCAGAAGAGACATTTTCACCCGTGGTCGATTATTTTTTTTATATAATAATCACCAGATTTAATATATTAACGTCATTTCATTATTTTATTCTGTATATTTTCTATCCGCCGTTTAGGTATAGCTCCTGGACCAGATGGGGAAATTCTCCACAAGTCCTGTTAATATGCATGTGTGTCAGAGCTCTGCTGAGGACTGATGATGACGCCTCCAGGTTCAGTAGGTCTCGCTTTCACAGTTCCGAGACACTAAACCTTTTATCTTGTCTGGCGTGAAATTTGCTTCGTTTTCCTTCTCCCTGAAGACAAGACATTCAGAGTCGAGATTGTCAAAAGATTCGTAGGTTGAATTTTCTTTGTAAGTGAAGATGTAAAAAGATTCGCCTAACTCGTATATATACTTAGGCTAACAGTACAGAAAAGTAACGTCCATAAGTAGCATCCAAAATTAACGTACAAGAATTACGTCTAATTTAATACCAAAAGTAACGTTCAAAAGTAATGCTCAAAAGTAACGTCCAAGAATAACGTTCAAAAGTAAAGTTTAATAAGTAACGTCCAAAAGTAACATCAAAAGTAACACCTCCAAGAATAACGTCCAAAAGTAACCTCCAGAAGTAACACCCAAAGAAACACCTCCAAGAATAACGTCCAAATGTAACACGAAAAGTAAAAAAAAATACATTTCAATTACGAGGTATAATTAATCTTACTCACCTATTTCAATTTAAAACCAGATTGTGTTTATTTCTCACACGTACAGAACATAGATGTAACTTGTGCTTCATTAACACACATCACCTTTACCTGTGTGTTGTTGTTGTTGGCTGCAGGTGAGGGAGTCTGATGGCTCTGGGGTCATGACTAATGGAGAAATGTTGGTGAAGAACAGCTGTGGTGACTTGAGTCTCTTGGGGTGACTGTCAGGATGTATGGAGTAATATATTTTGTTGACTAGAGTGTGTGGGATATCAGAATTTAAAACCAGCTTTGGTGAGTCTTGACTGTGTGTGTGTGTGTGTGTGTGTGTGTGTGTGTGTGTGTGTGTGTGTGTGTGAAGCCATTGTGAGGGGTTGCAGTGAGAGTGCCGGGTGTCAGATTTAGCTCGTCCGCCTTGCCTCTGCTGTAACTTTGATTCAGCCATTACTAATGTACACCCAAGAGACTGTCATTGTTGCTGAAGGGAGGTAGTCGTCAGTTTTGTTTTACGTGGCGCAATATTATATATTAATTATGGTATGTGGGTCATCGCTGCTATAGAGATCCGAGTTTGTAATCATTATTTTTTTGTGTGTGATGTTAATAGCCTTCAGTACTGTAGTGTGGTGAAGTTATGGTGAGAGATCCTGTAGTGTGGTGGTGAAGTTATGGTGAGAGATCCTGTAGTGTGGGTGGTGGTGAAGTTATGGTGAGAGATTCTGTAGTGTGGTGGTGAAGTTATGGTGAGAGATCCTGTAGTGTGGTGGTGAATTTATGGTGAGAGATCCTGTAGTGTGGTGGTGAAGTTATGGTGAGAGATCCTGTAGTGTGGTGGTGAAGTTATGGTGAGAGATCCTGTAGTGTGGTGGTGAAGTTATGGTGAGAGATCCTGTACTGTAGTGTGGTGGTGAGGTTATGGTGAGAGATCCTGCAGTGTGGTGGTGAAGTTATGGTGAGAGATCCTGTAGTGTGGTGGTGAAGTTATGGTGAGAGATCCTGTAGTGTGGTGGTGAAGTTATGGTGAGAGATCCTGTAGTGTGGTGGTGAGGTTATGGTGAGTGATCCCGTAGTGTGGTGGTGAAGTTATGGTGAGAGAGATCTGTGGTGTGGTGGAGGGGGCCCATGGTGAGAGATCCTGTAGTGTGGTGGATGGGAATTTATGAGAGATCTGTAGTGTGTGGGTGGTGTGTTGAAGTTGCTGGTGAGAGATTCTGTGGTGTGGTGGTGAAGTTATAATTGCTGAGGAGATCCTGTAGTGTGGTGGAGAAGTTATGGTGAGAGATCCTGTAGTGTGGTGGTGAAGTTATGGTGAGAGATCCTGTAGTGTGGTGGTGAAGTTATGGTGAGAGATCCTGTAGTGTGGTGGTGAGGTTATGGTGAGAGATCCTGTAGTGTGGTGGTGAAGTTATGGTGAGAGATCCTATAGTGTGGTGGTGAAGTTATAGTGAGAGATCCTGAAGTGTGGTGGTGAAGTTAAGATAAGAGATCCTGTAGTGTGGTGAATTTATGGTCAGAGATCCTGTAGTGTGGTGGAGAAGTTATGGTGAGATCCTGTAGTGTGGTGAAGTTATGGTGAAAGATCCTGTAATGTGGTGTGAGGTTATGGAGAGATCCTGTAGTGTGGTGGTGAAGTTATGGTGAGAGATCCTGTAGTGTGGTGATGAAGTTATGGTGAGAGATCCTGTAGTGTGGTGGTGAGGTTATGGTGAGAGATCCTGTAGTGTGGTGGTGAGGTTATGGTGAGAGCTCCTGTAGTGTGGTGGTGAGGTTATGGAGAGATCCTGTAGTT